TAGATATGAGATGATTTTATTACATTAGATGCCTGGTTTCATCCACATCAGTTCAGACACATTAATATTGAACAACATCACATGCAAATTGTGTAACTGTTGGAAATCTTTATGCAAAAATGCTGATCGCAAATATTCATTTCATGTCTTCCTGAACAGCGTTGCGAATGCATAATTCAGACTGATGCGTGAAAGTACGGATTTGCATACCACACACTTTTGTAGTGGAATGGGACCATGTATCTGTAATGAAGGGGAAAAAAGGATGGTGTGTTCTCCGGCAGCTCATCACTGTCATCATGATTATTTGTGCAGCAGAACAGCTGGGTCACCTCACCTGCGCCGTGGTCCTGGGGAAAGAATATAAAATATAAATTGACAGATCTGTCATGCACTTGTGTGACAGCGTGGGCCGAGGGGGTTGATCTGTTTTTCGCTTCCTGGTGTACAGGTGAACCGAGCAGTTGGTTTGTAAAGTCGAGTCTCGCTGATGAACTGTGGTGCAGAGAGGATTGGTTGTATGAAGAGCATGACTCTGCACCTCCAGTGAATTTTTTGAACACTCTATTTTCACATCTTGTTGTAATTTACATATTGATTCATTTTCTATAGGAGCAGCTCTGACTGGAGTTTCGGCTTCAAATCACAGGTTTATATTAACACGCTCTTTGGAACCAAGTTTTGTGTATCGTTTCTGTAGTAACAACTTACACGGACTTTTATGGCAGACACTTGACGTAAACGGATTAAAAAAAATGTGTGTAACTGTTGATAAGGAGATGTTTATTTAACATTTATGGAAGGAGTCTCCAGTGTCAGAGCGTTTGTAAGAAGTTTTTCCCAACAAGGGAAGTTTACGTTTTGCTGTTTCTCTTTTTTTGTCTTATTAAATTCAAGTGAAAATGAGGGAACAACTGTTTATAGCTGCTATAACATAAGTGATAACAGGAGCTAACTTGTTTCAAGGATGTTCCACAACACTAAATATAACTACAGGATGTCCCAAATGTCTCCAATGCCATGTTTCCTGTTAAAGTCCATCGCAACCTTGTGACAGCTTCCCGATTCAGCCGTGAGAATGATTTCAATATGTTCTTCTTTTCTCAAAGGCATTCTTAAAGCCTATCTGAAAAAATATATATATATAATATAAACTAAGTATGAAAAATTTTGGAAGTCATTTTGCTAAAAAGTGTTAACACCACCTACATATGGAGACTTTTGGGACATCCAGTAGAAAACACTTTCAACAAATAAAGTGTCCTTCTTTAATACAAATTTTTTTAAAATTGATTTGTTTACAAATTGCTGTGGTATAAAAGGTAGAAAACACTTCCAGATGTGCTGCTACTGGAAAATAATCAGTTCTGGGGTAGGAACAGTAACTCTGCTTCATCACACCACCACTTTGTTGATTATTTTCCTGTAGCAGCATGAGGGTTTATTGGTTTATTGAGTGGTTTATTCCTTACTTAGCACTCAGCTCTAGTATACTGCATGTATTATTGGATGCCTTATGCTGGAGTCAGAAAATATTGCAATCACCTTTTTATAATTGTGCGAAATGTTCCTACTTTAAATTTGTAATCATGTAGAAATTATGTGCCACGATGATCTAATGTTAATCTGCTACGGATACAAACTGCTCAGATTGATGGTTTTGTCACAAATGTATATGCTATATATATATATGTAATAGTATAATATTTTCGACAAAGTTTGCTTTGTTTTAAGAAATTAAATGCCATTGTGTTGGCTACAAGGAATGTTGTTCCAGGACCATGTTCACGAGCTGAGGAAAGCTGTTTCATTTCTAATTATGTAAAAGTACTTCTTGGTAGTGCACTCAGACTTGTGGACCCAAATACAGGACAGCGAGAACGTCTCACACACTCATTACCGTGCATTAGTCATCGCCGTGATGTGCCGCTGTTCGAGTTTTGCTCTTTTCCGCTTCCCTCAGGTCAGTGGACCGCCGTAATGGATAATAATAGGAGACGGTGTGGTCAATTTTGGCTCGGTTCAGGTACAAAAGGGCAGATTTCCCCAGGAGACCTCACCGCTTTCCTCATCATGCCTCATTGCTCATTACTCACTGAATAATGTGACTGTGTCAGTAACAAGTGTCAGATCCGGTTAATTCTACGAAAACCAGTAACTCATACACAGCAGCCATGATGTCTTTTTATTACATTTATAATACGTAGAAAAACAATCAAGTCAAGTTATCAAATAGTAGTCCAAGATTTTCCTCAGATCATGCTAATTATTCAAGAATCCATTATTGTTTAGCTGTATAAGAAACTGTAATTTTAAATATCAAAAAAATAAAGATGTTATAACAAGGGTTGGACAAAATTTTTTGAGTAATTGTACTTTCATAGCCTGTTTGTTCAGGCCCCCTAGTGGTGTAGATGCTGGTGTCTACAGAATGACTATTGTGCAAATAAAGCTTTCGTAAAAAGCGAATAGCGGCAATATCAGTGAAATCTGCATGTCACCTTTCAGAGTAATAAATTGTCAATCTGCATATGAAATTTGAGCTTTCTCATTGTTGTGGAGCATGCGGTAACTGAACAGTCGTGTCTCTTCGGGGCTTGTTTACAGCGTGCTGGAGATCCAGGCGTAAAGTGGCCAAGTGTCTGGGAAATCACAAACCAAATCATTTTACCATCAAAAAATCATGTTCCAACAAGGCAACAATAAAATACAGCTGACGGGTAGAAACAACAGTTATATCATCGTTTATTTAGTAAAATAATATTTCTGTTTTGCTCTCTGAACAAACAGGTATACTTAAGTATTATTTTGGGATATTCACAGTTGGGGTCATAAGTTTGCATACACCTTGCAGAATCTGCAAAATGTTAATAATTTTTTTTTTAAATATGAGGGATCATAAAAATTGCATTGTGTTTTTTATTTAGTACTGCCCTGAATAATTTTTATTATTTTTTCTTCTGGGAAACATGTAATTATATTGTGTAGCTTCTGAAGGGCAGTACAAAATGAAAAAAATAAGATCTTTATACAAAATAATAACAAATTACTCCAATAATCCTGTTTAAAAGTTTACACCCCCCGGCTCTTAATGTATCATGTTGCCTTCTTGAGCATCAGTGAACGTTTGCACCTTTTGTAATAGTTGTGTACGAGTCCCTCAGTTGTCCTCAATATGAAAAGATAGATCTCAACATCATATAGCTGCTGCTGGAAAGAAGTCAAATATGCAGAAGATGTTGGAAAAGCAAATAATGTGCAGGTCCTGGAGGATTTTTCTGAAGAACAGTGAGCTGTTTAACTGCTCAGGACAAACACGGGACTCATGAACAACCATCATAAAACATAAAAATAGTCGTTGATCATCCAGGTAACACACACGGTATTAAGAACCAAGGGAATGTAAACTTTTGAACTGGTTCATTTGTGTAAATTTAGTTATTATTTTGTCTTGTGGACTACATGTAAATATCTGCTATTTGAAATATAAAAAAAAAAAAAAAATGAAAAATAAAAAATGCTATTTTGATGATCCCTCTTATTTTTTAAAAGAAATTATTAATATTTTGCAGATTCTGCAAGGCGTATGTAAACTTATGACCACATACTTTACTTGACTGTAAACTTTATTTGAGTATTATTGAAATTGTATATGTGTACTCTTACATAGTACTCTTACACTCTCACTCTAACCCAGTGACTGTACAATATACATCGATCAAATGAGCTCAGTTTAGCATCCAATCATTTCAGTTTAGCATCCAATCGTTTCAGTTTAGTATCCAATTAAAGTTCATCAGTGTAAGAAAAATATCAAGAATCGTGCCAATTCAGCATCTGCTGCCACCTCCTCATGCTACACAATCTAGTTAGCGCTACAGCTATCCATGTGTGTGTGTGAATATTGCTAATCCATCAGGAACTTGAGGATGAGCACCCTGACCCTACCTCAGTAAAATGTTTCAGTATGCTCCACGGAAAAAAAGGGGATATGTAGTCGATCAGATTTATGAGAATACTGTATATTATGTATAGTTTACATTTAAAAAATTATGTTTCTCATCAAAACATGATTTCATTAATTTTAACAAGTTTCTAATTACTAGATTGAATTATGTAGAGTGAGCGTGATCAATTCACGTAGTATTAACGTAAAGCAGTTACATCATGAAATCTCATGAGGATGCTGGCTCTGACAGGAAGAAATAACTACAGTATTAAATGAACACAATTAAAGGATAGCGCAGCAGTAATGTGGCTGCAGAATGCCAGTGATCTGCGTTCAATCCTCAGTTCAGGTGAGACCATGGAGGTCAATTTTATTCAGGGTTGAAAATATATGATCAAATCATGTTGGATGTACGAAAACAAATTGTGTTAGTGTAACTCAATTCAGTCATGTGGAACAGTCTTGCATAAAATGGGGCGTGTCCTTTTGCGTCCCTAGAAGGCATGAACATCGTCTAATTTGAAAACGTGAGCTAAGTTTCGCTAACAGATTGAATGATATTTTCAAGCAAAAAGCGTACAGAACAAAAATAAACTTTTAACACTTTAACAGTAAATAAATGTTACTGTACACATGAATAGATGACAATTTCATCTTTTGACCGTAAGAATTACTGAGAGTGAGTGAGTGAGTGAGCTATTTTATTTTTAACATAGCTTTATAAACACAAGTGCATTTAAAAAGGGACTTAATTAGTCCTTTAAACGTAACTTAGTGGATTTTAGTACGTGTAACAAAGATATATGCTAAGTAAACTCAAATCTTGATCTCTACTCATCCTTCCATCGATTCTCTGTACTGCTTATCCTACACAGCCTATCCCTGGGAACTTGGGGCTCAAGGCAGGGGACACCCTGGACTGGGGGCCAATCCATTGCAGGGCACCATCACACACAATTAGGAAATTGTCTTTGGACTGGGGGAGGAAACTGGAGTACCCAGAGGAAACCCCCCCAAACACAGGGAGAAGTGCTAACTCCATGCACACTCAAGGCAGAGGTGGGATTCGAACCCCTAACCCTGGAGGCATAAGGCAAGCGTGCTAACCACTAAGCCACGATGCCCCCTATTAGCTCTACTCAAAGCAATCAGATTTTAAACTTAAATGGTGTAAGTCAGTTTCCTTGACTGATTTCAGTATACTTGACTTGTCAGGTTTTACAGTGCAGCTATTGGTGAGTGTAGAAAAGAGAACGTGCAGTAAATTGTGTTATCCGTGTACCTCTGCACGTGCTCACTACACTGTGGTTTCTGGCAACAGGTACATTTCTGCTATCGACTGCACTTCTCACTGAGATTTCGCTCCTTTGTTGCCCTTTTCAGTGGTTTTATCTGTGTGAGTGTCTGTTTGCCATTAATACTGATCATGCAAACTGGTTAAGTGATAGCGGAGCGGTGAAACCGGTTCACATGCATCAATTCCACAAAGATGTCTGATTTATAAATGACCCCGTCGCAAAACTATGTTGTGTGCGTAAATTCAATCGTACACCCATTTTTATAGATCATTCATACAAGAAAAGCTGAGAACTTTCCTTAGGAACAAATTTAGAATGAAATTCTAGTACATTTTATAAATAAGGCCCCTGATGCCATTTGCAGTCTGTATATTAATCTAGTGAAAATATATTAAATAATAAATATATCGTTTATAATATATTAATATAGAAACAGAGAATATGTAAGGTAGAACTTGTGGTGCAACTTGCTTAAGAAAGTCATGTTCATGGAGTGAGGAGACGTGTAATGTGTCATGATGACTGGTGTTTATGTAAATTGGGTATGTGCTGATTTGTGATGCTTGATATTATAAATGAGCCTCACTGTGATGAATGGCCAATTAAGAACTAGAACAGATTTTGAGGCTGCTGTTAACATTTTTTGTTGAAATGTTTCCCTCTGTGTTTGTGTGTGTGTGTGTGTGTGTGTGTGTGTGTGTGTTTATGGTCAGTTAAGAGGAAAATGCCCGGGTGGACCTCATGGAGCAATCAGAGCAGAACAATGACTCATTAAATGAGCTACTCTTGCAGAAATCTGCTCCATGTAGAAAGAAATCAAAACATGGTGAAGTGGATGAGCCTCAGTCGAGAAGTTCAGGTTAATGAGATGCTTGATTCCAAACACACTGTGATGGGCGTCGCTGAAGCTCCCAATCAGATTCTCTCAGCGGGAAACCACTTAATACCTGTTCAGCACCATGAGCGCCATGAGCCACAGCAAAGTCTGTTTGTGCTATTGACATATAGAACGGCGCAGCAGTGTTCTGTCTCTATCTGTCTGTCTGACTGTGTGTCTGTCAGTCTACATGTCTGTCTGTCTGTCTGTCTGTCTGCCTGTGTCCCACTGTGTGTCTGTCAGTCTACATATCTGTCTGTCTGTCTGTGTCGCACTGTGTGTCTGTCAGTCTACATATCTGTCTGTCTGTCTGTGTCGCACTGTATGTGTCTGTCAGGCTGTGTCTGTCTCTATCTGTCTGTCTGTGTGTCTGTCAGTCTACATGTCTGTCTGTCTGTGTTCCACTGTGTGTGTGTCTGTCTGTGTCTGTCTGTCTGTCTATCTGTCTGTCTGACTGTCTCAGTCTACATGTCTGTCTGTCTGTGTGTCTGTGTCCCACTGTGTGTCTGTCAGTCCGTGTCTGTCTCTATCTGCCTGTGTCCCACTGTCTGTCTGTCTGTGTCCCACTGTATGTGTCTGTCGGGCTGTGTCTGTCTCTATCTGTCTGTGTCTGACTGTGTGTCTGTCAGTCTACATATCTGTCTGTCTGTCTGTCTGTGTCCCACTGTGTGTCTGTCAGTCTACATATCTGTCTGTCTGTCTGTCTGTCTGTCTGTCTGTCTGTGTCCCACTGTGTGTCTGTCAGTCTACATATCTGTCTGTCTGTCTGTCTGTGTCCCACTGTATGTGTCTGTCAGTCTGTGTCTGTCTCTATCTGCCTGTGTCTGACTTTGCGTGCCTGTCAGTCTGAGTGTCTGTCTGTCTGTGTCCCACTGTGTATGCCATTCTGTCTGTCTGTGTCTCTCTGTGTCTGTCTCATTATCTGTCTGTCCGTCTGTCTGTCTATCTGTCTATCTGTCTATTTATTCAACACAGAATCGAGAGACAGAAATGGCACGTTTAAATTATTCTAAACAATTAGACGAATATTAGCTGAACATGTTTTACTGATGGCCACAATGACACTCATTTGATATTAGAGTTTAGATCATTCGATATCTGACTTTTTATTTGATATCCGAGTTTAGATTATTTTGCACATGCAGTTTTGGTGTTACATGACCAGGATGGTGTGAACATCAGAAAGTCAGGGCTTTTTCTTTTTTTTTTTTTTTTTGGTCAGTCTAGCAGCGGGACGTAGTACATGATGGCCTTTGAGGAGGTCATGAGTCATGACATTTATTTCACAGGTTGGTCTGTGTGATGATGACTCACGCAGACAGAAGGTGAGTCATCGACTATTTTGCGGATTAGAAATGATTTGCATTGAACGCTTATAATTAAAATATCAGGCTTACGTGTGTCAGATAATGAGGAGGGAAAAAAATATCCTAAATTTAGTCATGGCTACAGAGTGGGTGCTATGAAGTACATACTTATAGGCTAGTTAATGTTGATCTGTATCTCAGCATTATACTGTTCACCTGTATAGATGTGTAATTAAGTTTTGAGTTTAATTAGATTCATTAGCAAGGGCAGGTGACATGATAGATGATATAAAACTGAATCATGTAGCATTGTGTCTAATGGTGACATGTCCATCGGTTAATTGTATGAATTAATTAATGAACCATATGCATAGCTGCTAACCGTGTTATGGTTTAAATGATATTGAGGACTGAAATGTTAATTAGCCCATTTGCTATGTGCATTTCAATTTCAATCAAATCCATCGGCCAATACGTTTGGTGCTAATCAAAGAAGGACGTCTGGAGTTAATAAAATGGTAAATATAAATTTATATTAATGGGTTATCCACCTTAATATTGGATTATACTATGTTACAATTAGCTGATCATGTTACTAGGCTAGGTTTTTTTTGTTTATAGCAAGATTTTTAATGCCAAGAATTTCTAACATTAATTTTATTATTATTATTATTATTATTATTATTATTATTATTATATTAACTTTGTTGAACATTGTTCCCAACAACCAATCACTGTCCACCATTGTTTTCCAACAACCAATCATTGATCACGATTGTTTTCCAACAACCAATCACTGATCACCATTGTTTGGAATGACTAATCACTGTCCACCATTGTTCCCAACAACCAATCACTGATCATTATTGTTCCCAACAATCACTGATCACCATCGTTTTCCAACAACCAATCACTGACCATCACTGTTAACAAGAACCAATCACGGATCGCCACCATTGTTTTACAACAACCAATCACTGACCACCATTATTTTTCCTACTTCTTTGTTCTTCATTTTGCACTTTAAATCTTTAATCTTGGTAATATTTACAGTAATAAAAGCACGTTATTTCATCTTTAACCCTTTCCTTCATGTCTGTTTCCCAACTCCTCACTACCACTGCTTCATTTTGTCAGTGTTCTTGATAGAAATTACAGAATTTTATAAATACGTAAATAGTTTGTGGTGCCATGACCAAAGACATTTTGTTCCTGTAACAAATGTTACAATCCTTTATTTTCTCCTCTATTCTTCAGGGTGTCTGAAAAGCCAGGAACCAATGAGAGTAAAATTACATATACTTAATTTTGTATTTATTATTTATGCTCTACATGTTCACCTTTACGCTCTACACATTTTCTCAGACATTATTGGTTTTTTTGCACAACCTATTCGGATCGATATGTTTGCTCGACATATTCCCACCAGCTCCTGATTCTATTCCGTTCTGTGGAAAATGTTCCTACTTCATGTAGAAGGTTTGATATGTGAAGAATCAATGACTATGCAAATTAATCAGTGACGTCACGTGGCGACTTGGTGACATTTTGAGCATGTATGAGCTACTTTCCCCTGAAAAGAGCTGGCAAAACTGTTTTGCACAAAAGTCCATTCTCTGTGCAAGCAAGCTGCTGCCTCCTACATTAAAGTGTGTATCCTTATTTGAAAGGTATATAACAAACGCTATCTATTTTATTTATTTTGTTTGACTCTGGCATCGATTTTAATACATATATGCGCACGTGGTTCATTTAACCCGGGCTGCCTACGTCATTAGCCGGATTAGCTAATATTAGCAAGTCAATAAAACTAGCATGAGAGCTCAGCAGACCGAAAAATGTGCTTACGGTAGCTAATTATGGCAATTAAGTCGTTGATTTTATACTTATATTTGATTTATATAAATAATTATATTAATTATAATGCTATAAACGCCAGTTTAAGAGTTAGCTAACCGAAATGCCTTTGTAACATCAGTGCAGTTAGCGATTATTAGCTGGAATAGTTGTGTTAGCAAAACATATATATATATCTATATATAGATATAGATATATATATATTTTTTTTTATTTATTAGGATTTTATTTGGGAGTAGTATTGTTTTTTGTTTTTTTTTGTAATAAGCCACGTTTACATTTTTAATTTTTTTATTCATTTATTTATTTATATTTATTTATGTAAACTTTTTTGTTAGCCTCGATCTGTTGTTGTGGGCGCGTTCAAAATCGCGGCATCGAGTCACAATCCAGGGCGCGCGCGCATGTATTTGACGTGTTGTAGCGCACTATTTTGACGCCATATTTAGTGCACTAGTACGCGGATTGGGACGCACCCTAACAACTCCGTCTCTTTCTATCAACAGTACGAACGACTGGGTAAGACGTCCACGTTTTTTTTTTTTTTCCCTGTTTTTGCAACTTTATCGTGTTTTTTCCTCCTTATTTTGTAGGTCACATTTTAAAAGCATGTATTATTTTAAATCAGTGATGCATAGTTGGTAAGGGTAATGAATAAATAATTAAAAACAGCCGTCTTCAGTGAAACCTGGGCAGATAAAATGCGGTTTTCTTCATATAAAAGGCGTTTATTTGGAAATAAAAGTTTTCTCAGCACATTTATGATATTTTCATGCAATAAGTTA